ACTGTGTACAAAGCCCGCCGGATCCTACTCATGGAACCACTCAGCACACACACACGCGAAAATAGCCCTGCGATGCTAGCGTCTCAACTCGCCAGATCATACCCATGGAACCACTCAGCACACACATGCGAGAATAGCCCTGTGCCAATCTTTACTCCCAATTCTTGCATTCTTAGTAAAGATGCGGATGTGCTGCTTCCAAAATCCACCAGACGTCCTACCTCTCTAATGGTGTTAACAATGTCGGCATGATCCATGGGCCGGCCCTCTGTAACTAAAGCAACAACACCCGCATGCCCTGGGACAAAGATGAAGGTAACTCTACGCACAGTATAGTTTTTCAATGACTCAATCTACTGTGTACAAAGCCCGCCGGATCCTACTCATGGAACCACTCAGCACACACACACGCGAAAATAGCCCTGCGATGCTAGCGTCTCAACTCGCCAGATCATACCCATGGAACCACTCAGCACACACATGCGAGTATAGCCCTGTGATGCTAGCTAAATAAAAGCTCTTGTTTTCGCCATCACCTATATTGTCTCCTGGACTGTTCTACCTGCAAAGTACGCAGTAAATGAAAACCTGGATTATACTCATTGAATAAGTACACAAATATAAGAATAGTCATGTCACATGCATGCTCTTACCACCTCCATCATCATGGTGGGGGAAGAAAGCATATCTGTTCTATCTGCAGAGCATGCTGTGAATGTCTGTACATTTCTCAATATATATATCAGTTTTAACATATGGCTGTGAATCCTGGATAATAAGTAAACAAACCAAACAATTTTTTGAGGCCTCAAAGATGTAATCTTACAGAAGAATCCTTAGCAGTCCTTGGACAGTCAAACAAAGCAACCCAAATGTTTTGAAAGAGGTTTAGATTTAGATGACGGATTAACATCGTGGCACAAGGTTAGTAATTAATAAGTGCTCTGTTCTACTTCTGACTCAAGCCTCAGTCTGAAGGATCTCAGCGCAGTGCACGAACTCCATTTGAAAGAGGTGAGGGCTTAAAGACATCTTATCACAAACATCAGAAAGAGACAGTCATTATTTTGGGTTACAAGAAGAAAGAAAGTGGAACATTTTGTGACCATTGAAAAGTCTGTGGAAAAAGATACAGAGAAAGACAACGTGAGAAAATTCCTGACAACCTTTTATCGTTGCATGGAGGGAGTTCAACACATGAACTGATATATGATGTTGAAAATCACAGAGGAAAGAACGCCCATGCCAACAGGCAAGGCACTTTATGATGATGATACAGAATTAAAAAAAAATTTTATTAGTTAGTTGCGTACCCTTTAGAGAACATTGCAGAACCAACCCCAGCATTTTTTTGGCTGTTTTGGTTTTTCTAGACAAATTTACGTCCAGTAGTTTGCCACTGCTTTCCGGACGGTCGGCTTCTCGATACCACTGTTGAAACCAACTTAAGGCCCGCAGCTGGGATCGAACCTGGCACCCTAGCATTACGAAGCGCGTTTACCCGCCTAAGCCACAAAATCTCATCCAGTTGTTACACGAACCCTAGTTGTCACTTTAACTCTTTATTTACCACTTTTGCCGTCAAGCAGCACGGTGGCCAGTGACAGATGGTGATCTAGTGGCCAAACATGCGACTAAGCGTCAAGGTGACAGATGGTGGTCTAGTGGCCGAACATGCGACTAAGCGTCAAGGTGACAGATGGTGGTCTAGTGGCCAAACATGCGACTAAGCGTCAAGGTGACAAATCATGGTCTAATGACCGAACATGTATCGTGGTGGCCAGTGACAGATGGTGGTCTAGTGGCCGAACATGCGACTAAGCGTCAAGGTGACAGATGGTGGTCTAGTGGCCGAACATGTATCGTGGTGGCCAGTGACAGATGGTGGTCTAGTGGCCGAACATGTATCGTGGTGGCCAGTGACAGATGGTGGTCTAGTGGCCGAACATTTGACTAAGCGTCAAGGTGACAGATGGTGGTCTAGTGGCCGAACATGCATCGTGTTGGCCAGTGACAGATGGTGGTGTAGTAACCGAAGATGCGAACCAGCATCGTGGTGAGTAATGGTGGTCTTGTGCTTGATAGCAGGCACTGGCTATTATTACTCCTGGTGAATTTAGACTGTCTTTGATATTTTCAGTACGTCATCATCCTATATTCTCTCAGATATTATTAGATATAGCGCCTGTGGTGCTAACTGATGTTACTGCATAATGACAAGATGACAAATCAACTGGTGTTCTATGTCTTGGTGTATTCGGCACACAACGTTATTCCCAGTCTATCTGAAAGTTTTGTTTCTCGCTCAGTGACAAGTTTTTGTTATTAATTTTGTTTTCTTAACAAAGATAGATACCAGTTTATAATTTAGGCATTTATCTTTGGCAAAGTGTTAAAAAGAAATGAAAAACAGATTACTTCACGGAACGACATACCTCTCTGCTTGTTGAATCCCACACTTACCTACACACACTTAGGCACAACAGGTGTGTCAAAAATTAATAAATTTTTATTTATTAGATGTCGCCAACACAGATATAAATTAACAAACACATTGTGTATTTATGAAATAAAGATAGAAACAGATAATGAATGAAACCAGAAAGTTAGTTAGAGTAACGAGACTCCATTAATTTTGTTTGAAATACTGAAAGTATTACATTTTATGAAAGGTGGATGGGAAAAAAGAAAGAAATACATTTGCAGCCAGGCAAAGCTTACTAATAGGAATTCCTAAATGCTAAAGATGAAGGTTTCCAGGATACCCAACAGCTACTGAAAGACAAAGCAACTGTGGACTCTGTAAACGTCTGCACAGAGTATCTTACAACAAACAAAGAAGAGTAAGAATTATTAACAAAACCAAACCAATGCAAGGTCAATATTTGACAAAATTAAATCTCTGCTATGTCAATATCTAACATAACTCAATCCAGTATAAGTCAATGTGTAATAAAAATTAATCCAAGCAATGTCAGTGTGTCACAAAACATGGTCCAGGTCATGTCAGTGTGTCACAAAACATGATCCCGGTCATGTCAGTGTGTCACAAAACATGATCCCGGTCATGTCAGTGTGTCACAAAACATGGCCCAGGTCATGTCAGTGTGACACAAAACATGATCCCGGTCATGTCAGTGTGTCACAAAACATGGCCCAGGTCATGTCAGTGTGTCACAAAACATTTTCCAGGTCATGTCAGTGTGTCACAAAACATGATCCCGGCCATGTCAGTGTGTCACAAAACATGGTCCAGGTCATGTCAGTGTGTCACAAAACATGATCCAGGTCACGTCAGTGTGTCACAAAACATGGTCCAGGTCATGTCAGTGTTGTCACAAAACATTTTCCAGGTCATGTCAGTGTGTCACAAAACATGATCCAGGTCATGTCAGTGTGTCACAAAACATGATCCAGGTCATGTCAGTGTGTCACAAAACATGATCCCGGCCATGTCAGTGTGTCACAAAACATGATCCAGGTCATGTTAGTGTGTCACAAAACATGATCCAGGTCATGTCAGTGTGTCACAAAACATGATCCCGGCCATGTCAGTGTGTCACAAAACATTATCCAGGTCATGTCAGTGTGTCATAAAACATGGTCCAGGCCATGTCAGTGTGTCACAAAACATTATCCAGGTCATGTCAGTGTGTCACAAAACATAGTCCAGGCCATGTCAGTGTGTCACAAAACATGGTCCAGGCCATGTCAGTGTGTCACAAAACATGATCCCGGTCATGTCAGTGTGTCACAAAACATTGTCCAGGTCATGTCAGTGTGTCACAAAACATTGTCCAGGTCATGTCAGTGTGTCACAAAACATGATCCCGGCCATGTCAGTGTGTCACAAAACATGATCCCGGCCATGTCAGTGTGTCACAAAACATGGTCCAGGTCATGTCAGTGTGTCACAAAACATGATCCAGGTCACGTCAGTGTGTCACAAAACATGGTCCAGGTCATGTCAGTGTTGTCACAAAACATTTTCCAGGTCATGTCAGTGTGTCACAAAACATGATCCAGGTCATGTCAGTGTGTCACAAAACATGATCCAGGTCATGTCAGTGTGTCACAAAACATGATCCCGGCCATGTCAGTGTGTCACAAAACATGATCCAGGTCATGTTAGTGTGTCACAAAACATGATCCAGGTCATGTCAGTGTGTCACAAAACATGATCCCGATCATGTCAGTGTGTCACAAAACATGATCCCGGCCATGTCAGTGTGTCACAAAACATTATCCAGGTCATGTCAGTGTGTCATAAAACATGGTCCAGGCCATGTCAGTGTGTCACAAAACATTATCCCGGTCATGTCAGTGTGTCACAAAACATAGTCCAGGCCATGTCAGTGTGTCACAAAACATGGTCCAGGCCATGTCAGTGTGTCACAAAACATGGTCCCGGCCATGTCAGTGTGTCACAAAACATAGTCCCGGTCATGTCAGTGTGTCACAAAACATGGTCCCGGTCATGTCAGTGTGTCACAAAACATGGTCCCGGCCATGTCAGTGTGTCACAAAACATTATCCAGGTCATGTCAGTGTGTCACAAAACATGGTCCAGGCCATGTCAGTGTGTCACAAAACATGGTCCAAGCATGTCAGTATGTCACAAAACATGATCCCGGCCATGTCAGTGTGTCACAAAACTTTGTCCAGGTCATGTCAGTGTGTCACAAAACATGGTCCAATGTCATGTCAGTGTGTCACAAAACTTGGCCCAATGTTTGTCAGTGTGTCCCAAAACTCAATCAAAGGCTATGTCAGTATGTCACAAAACTCAATCAAAGCTATGTCAGTGTGTCACGAAAAATCAGTCCAAGCTATATCAGTGTGTCACAAAACTCACTCCAAGCAATGTCAGTGTCTGACAAAAAATCAACCCACAGTAAGTTAATCCTAAATGAAACCCGATCACATTGTCAATGGCTGACTAAACCCTGTGTCAGTTCATGTTTAAATTAAATAAAGCACAATTCCATTTGGCCACATTCTTAGTGAAGAAGCTGTTTAGTTTCAGTCATCATCTGGTGTATCCGACTGACACGGTCCATCGTGGAGTCATCTAACATAAAGTTTGACGGAGTGCTGGACCTACGGCCATCCATATTGACACTATCATCCGCTGTATACTGGAGGTTCATCACAGACTCATCTTGCTTGTATGACTTTATTGGAGAGACCATATCTTCAAACGGCTGTTTAAGGTTTTTGATTATGTTTGAAGAAGCTGGTTCTGCTTGCTGGTAATTCTTATTGACTGATGTTTCCAAATAGCTTGCATCACTCACAAGTGTATCTTCTAAATCTGAAATGTGATAGATACAATATTCCAATTTGTATTAATTTATGGAAACAAGTTGTCAAGTGAATACAAACTGGTCAAACCTGGATTCTAATCTGGGAAGTCAAAACATGAATCTAATGATTGCAGTCAGGAAATCTGCATTATAATGCCACACATACACCCACATATATAAAACAACCGGGTCCTAATGACAACAATAGAAAAAAATGGATTCTGACTCTGCAATCGTGAAACCTAGATTCTTGAGTTTTGCATCCACATTCATTTCACAGATCCGGCTTTTTTCCTCACCTCTCAGGCAAATTCCCCACTTTTTGGGGGGACCCTGGAACCCACCTGGGGAAATATTCAGCTACGGGTGGTCTCAATGACAAAGTGATCATTTGTCTCACACTCCATAGGTAGCGGGTTTGTTTTGCGGCTGCGTTGTTCTGTTCTCGAGTGTAGTTTTTTACGGAGATCCCTGGGTTTCATCACTGGAGCCACAGAATTGGTGCTTTGTGCGATGCTCTCTGCAGGAGGCTAGTTGCTCTGCAGAGAGAGACAGCTACACAGAATAAAATCCAGTGCAATTAAGTTAACCCCCGATTTTACTAATTCTAGTTACAATTGTCAGTATCTTCCATCATGGCCATACTGAGTAAGTCATCTTTGAGTCTGTTATGTCTGAAAATTGCTCTTATTCACTTTGGCTGAGTTGATAATATGTATCAGTTTCTGGTGGCCACGACATTTTTATGGCCACGTGATTTCAAAATTGTTAAATATCTGTTTTATCACAATAATCTAGAAGAGAACACTAACACATACAAACAGTCAATAGATAAAACCAGTAAAGACAGTAGTATCAGTTGCTCTGATAAACTTCTGACAATACATACCATTTTTGCTGACCAGTGTCTTGATGAATGCCATCTTTGAGGGCTTTATTTGTGGCTGTTTTGTGTCTTCTCGAATAACAACAACTTTCAAATCTTCAGCATTACCCTCATCATCACTGCTATTAACACAACTGGAAATTGTAGTCTCTCTGTCTATCTTGTTGTTGTCTTTCCTTCGCTCTGACATTTCTTTCTCCTTGCTAGCCATACTGTTGTTATTTCGGTCACCTCTGGCTGAGTCTTCAAGGTGTGTGGAATCGGCTGCAGCTATTTTAGAACTGTGGCAACTCTTGCTTTCAGTCAAGTTCCCTCTGTTATTCTCCTCATCCTTCAACTGCAAATTTAGCAGAATAATTATTTACAAACATGTTACATACAATTATAGACTAACAGTTATGTAAAAACTGAAAAATAAAATAAGTAAGGTTATTTTTTCCTACAGGGATAAGGTGCTGACTGCATTTCTTACAATGAATTAACCAATCGGTATTTGCTACATAATGTCATCTATATATTGCCGGCTGTCTCTATTATAGAAACTATTTCCAGGTCAACATTTTACATTGAGCTGTACCCGGAAACCAGAGTCAATTAACACCCTCTTCCTCCTAGTGGAGATTTGATCAAAAGACAACCAAGCTCGTAGGCTAATATTTGGAACTTCTAGATGGCAACGAGAGTTCTGCAGCAGTTCCCGATCTTGTATTTTAACATCAAGTCTGGAGAAAAACATATATGCTCTAAGAGATAGAAACTCTCGTCATCTGAATGTGGCTTACAAGTGAAAACAGTCTTTCAGTGGAGTTACACGCAGCTATACAAGAGATGTGATCATTTTAGGGCGGATAAGGAAAAAACCAAATCAATCAAGCCACCTGGTTTGAAGATGACATCCAGGTTCAATTCACCTGACGTGAGTTGTTGTTCTTCTTCATCTTAGCATTCGCCACTGCAAACTCAGACAGTTTTGGTTGTTTGTCCACTTCTGGACTTTGTGGTTTTGTTCCAGAACTCAAGTTTTATGTGAACGTTTATTCTACAGATGTGGCTTTTTTGTTTACAGACTGTTGGTTTCCCACCTCTCCGGCAGATGCACTGTGACTTCGAAGGAAAAACCCCTAATTAATTGCCTTTTACAATGATTGTTGTGTGTGTGTGTGTGTGCGTGGGGGGGGTGGGAGGCGCAATGGGTCTAATTTCCCCCTCAGCCCATCTCATAAAACTGGGTTCTGGGACCCACACAGGAGACTGATGTGAGAAAATACAACAAATTATAAATGACGTATCGAGTGGTAATAATGCTTATCAACTGGTTTCCTTTTCTGAGTGGGTGCCTCTCATTTCTGGGGAACAAAGAACAGAACCACTACTTTCCAACAAGTACGTCATAAAAGGCGACTAAGAAGAAGAAGGAAGAAGAAGGAAGGAAGAAGGAAGGAAGAAGGAGGAGGAAGAAGGAGGAGGAAGAAGAAGGAGGAAGAAGAAGAAGAAGAAGAAGAAGAAGAAGCTTGTTTTATAAAAGCAAACTAAACAAAACATGGATAGCATTAAAACATGGCAAACCTTGGACTCAATCATTATCAGCCGGTTTTCAATAAGGAAAACTCTGGATGTTAAAGTGTCCAGCTTGAAAACAACATCACTCATCTGTTTTGTTAGATCTGACGTGAGAGCTGCTGGTGATGGGAGATCACAAGTCACATTCAGCTGCTCCTTTTTTCAAAAAATTCTGTTGGGACAAAAGGGAGACTACTCTTAGTGTGTTTTAGAGTAACAACAGTGATTCTTCCAACAACAAATAACCAGTTCAGAAGGCGTTAAGTAATAACTAGAACCCGGTGAGTTGGACTGCGACATAAAGAGTGGGACCACTTCCATGGAAGTGTTTTCAATTTCTTTTTCATGTAATTCATAAGCAAAATTCACTGTTCCTCAAATGATTAAGCTGTGACAGATCCAGCGAACCGACAGTGGGAGATGATAGGATCATGTGTCTAGTTTGATGCCTGCAGGCGAAATGTGGTAAAGGATGAAATAAATGTGTGTGTAAGCAGCTGGCCACTTTATTATGTGAATCATTCTTCTTGGTCGCGTTCACTGGCTGTTAACTCAGCTGGCCACTTTATTATGGGAATCATTATTCTTGGTCGCGTTCACTGGCTGTAAACTCAGCTGGCCACTTTATTATGTGAAACATTCTTGTTCGTGTTCATTGGCTGTTAACTCAGCTGGCCACTTTATTATGGGAATCATTATTCTTGGTCGCGTTCACTGGCTGTAAACACCACCAGACACTTTATTATGTGAATCATTATTCTTGTTCGTGTTCACTGGCTGTTAACTCAGCTGGCCACTTTATTATGGGAATCATTATTCTTGTTCGTGTTCACTGGCTGTAAACTCAGCTGGCCACTTTATTATGGGAATCATTATTCTTGTTCGTGTTCACTGGCTGTTAACTCAGCTGGCCACTTTATTATGGGAATCATTATTCTTGTTCGTGTTCACTGGCTGTTAACTCAGCTGGCCACTTTATTATGGGAATCATTATTCTTGTTCGTGTTCACTGGCTGTTAACTCAGCTGGCCACTTTATTATGGGAATCATTATTCTTGGTCGCGTTCACTGGCTGTAAACGCCACCAGACACTTTATTATGTGAATCATTATTCTTGTTTGCGTTTACTAGCTGTAAACACCACGGGACAGTTCTACATGTTCGTCCTAGATGTCAGTCTTATCCCGGGATTTTAGTTTTGCATACCTCCATTTTTTTTTTTAAATTCTGGCTTAGTTGCAAAAGATCTGATTTATTTGTAAGCAGACTATGGGTTCCTTGCCTCTCAGGCAGATTCACTCAACATTGAAGAAAACACTTATTAATTAGTTAACTCTTACAACATGCTTGCTAAGTAGGCATTGTGCCTAATATTTTTTCCCTCCGCAATGAGGCTCTGCTTTACGTATCCACATTCTTCAACATTTTCTGATATGGAGCACACATGGACATGACATGAGTGCTGGCACATTATGATGTCTGACAACAAACCATTTAATTAGTTTGAAAATCCTGCAAAAGGACAAATTATTCTGAGTATAATCAACAATGGAAGGTAGAATTAGCTAGCTTGAAAAGAAAACAGTCAAAAGTGAGAATAAATGTTGTGACTAGAAAGCTTTCAACACTATACAAAAACGACTAACATGTGACTAGAAAGCTTTCAACACCGTACAGAAACAACTAACATGTGACTAGAAAGCTTTCAACACCATACAAAAACAACTAACATGTGACTTAAAAGCTTTCAACACCATACAAAAACTAACATGTGACTAGAAAGCTTTCAACACCATACAAAAACTAACATGTGACTAGAAAGCTTTCAACACCATACAAAAACAACTAACATGTGACTAGAAAGCTTTCAACACCATACAAAAACTAACATGTGACTAGAAAGCTTTCAACACCATACAAAAACTAACATGTGACTAGAAAGCTTTCAACACCATACAAAAACAACTAACATGTGACTAGAAAGCTTTCAGCACCATACAAAAACTAACATGTGACTAGAAAGCTTTCAACACCATACAAAAACAACTAACATGTGACTAGAAAGCTTTCAGCACCATACAAAAACTAACATGTGACTAGAAAGCTTTCAACACCTACAAAAAACTAACATGTGACTAGAAAGCTTTCAACACCATACAAAAACTAACATGTGACAGAAAGCTTTCAACACCATACAAAAACAACTAACATGTGACTAGAAAGCTTTCAACACCATACAAAAACTAACATGTGACTAGAAAGCTTTCAACACCATACAAAAACTAACATGTGACTAGAAAGCTTTCAACACCATACAAAAACAACTAACATGTGACTAGAAAGCTTTCAACACCATACAAAAACTAACATGTGACTAGAAAGCTTTCAACACCATACAAAAACTAACATGTGACTAGAAAGCTTTCAACACCATACAAAAACTAACATGTGACTAGAAAGCTTTCAACACCATACAAAAACAACTAACATGTGACTAGAAAGCTTTCAACACCATACAAAAACTAACATGTGACTAGAAAGCTTTCAACACCATATAAAACAACTAACATGTGACTAGAAAGCTTTCAACACCATACAAAAACTAACATGTGACTAGAAAGCTTTCAAAACCATACAAAAACAACTAACATGTGACTAGAAAGTTTCAACACCATACAAAAACTAACATGTGACTAGAAAGCTTTCAACACCATACAAAAACAAGTTAACAACATTGACACAACTATATAAAAAAGATGACCCCCCCAAAAAAACCAACTATTTTTTAAGGCTTGAGTCAAGCAATCGTTAAAATATCCTAGGGAAATCCTACAGAAATATTTGTGTGGGTAGCTTACCATCAAACTAATCTGTAATTTGTCAATTTTGTCATTGACTTTCACAAGGGCTGGTGACACCAGATCAATAAATGTGCGTCTGATAAGAGCATCCGGCGATTCTTGTCGAACTGTTAAATGGTTTGATTAACCGGTTCTCGGAAAGAATGGCATGTAGCGATTCCTGTAACCTCTTCGTTGTCTTCATCAGCTGTAGAAAGAATTATTTTTATGTCATTTACACAACTGTAAAAATATGAAACTTTGTGTGGACCCCAAAATTTGCATCGTTGACTGTAACTGGGTATTTGAAGATAACCTGACACATCTGTTACTTTAAATGTTTTCCTACTCCAACTAAGGTAATTCTTTTTAATCATCTATCAATGAAAGTATCAGCTACAAATATGCATTCAGACATGATTTACCCCTACCCCTCTCCCTCCACTATCATCTTGAGCTGTGACTTCCCACGCCTACCTGTAACACAATACAACACTGTCATATGGAAAGACAAAAGGGTGCCAACAAATGCTTTATTAAGCAACAGTGTTTTTTTCTTCTTTTCATTCCTTGAGTAACAGACTGCTGCTTAAGATCCTCACCCAGTCTGGACTAAAGATTACTATGTAACAGTCAGGGGCTCCAATATAACTGTTATGCAGATGAGCAGTGTCTTTAGGATTTGTACATAGAGGATTCTCATCCTGGAGGTGTTAATCCTACCAAGTGCAATCCTTGAGGCGAAAAACTATCTACTTCACTAGATGCTTGAGTTATATAAATGAAGAGTCTGGTGAAAAATTTAGCTTCTCTTGATTCTCACAAATTCCAAACTGCTAAAAAAGCTTCTCTTGCCATTGCTATTCTTATTTTTAAATTGTCTGTTTCTGCAATTTTGCAATGCAGCTGAAATTTGTGTAAGATTCCACCTTTTGAAGTAAGAAAAAGAGACCAGTTGCTTCTCTTCTGCCTCTCATATCCCAAAGCAACATAGGCTCACACAAATCCCTTTGTAGATTTGTTTAATGTCTGATTGGACATTGAGGCTAGTCTTCTGTAGAATATTTAATGACTGGTTAGACCTTGAGACTAGTCTCTGTAGGATGTTTCATGATTGGTTGGATCTTGAAACTAGTCTTCTGTGGGATGTTTCATGATTGGTTAGATCTTTAGGCTAGACTTTTGGGGAATGTTTCATGTCTGGTTGGACATTGAGGCCAGTCTTCTGTGGAATATTTCATGACTGGTTGGATCTTGAGACTAGTCTTCTGTATGATGTTTCATGATTGGTTGGATCTTGAAACTAGTCTTCTATGGGATGTTTCATGATTAATTAGATCTTTAGGCTAGTCTTCTGTGGAATATTTTATGACTGGCTAGATCTTGAGGCTAGTCTTCCGTGGAATGTTTCATGACTGGTTGGATCTTGAGACTAGTCTTCTGTAGGATATTTCATGATTAGTTTGATATTTAGGCTAGTCTTCTGTGGAATTTTTCATGATTGGTTGGACCTTGAGGCTAGTCTTCTGTGGAATTTTTTATGGTTGGTTGGACCTTGAGGCTATTCTTCTGTGGAATGTTTTATGGTTGGTTGGATCTTGAGGTTATTCTTCAGTGGGATAAAGTAGCCATCTAATACCAAACCCTGTCAGCTGCTTCTTGTGACATGTATAGTAGGTTACAGTTTACTATTGTCAAATCCATGAAGGACCTGGTAACAGGAAAAGGGAGAGGGAGGGGGAGTCTAGTCTATGTTATATACCATATTCACCCTTTAGCAACAGTTCAACAATCTGAAACAGTATCATGCAAACATTTGAACTTACCACCTGCATTGGAAACAAACAGCTGTTTTTGTTTATGGCCCCTGAATGGCAGGGACGGTGCTCCAAAAAGTGGGCTTTCATTAGAAACTTGGTGAGCTGGAAATGACGATTTGGGAATTTTAAAACCTGCTGACGATGGTCTCTTGGGCAATACAATAGCTCCTGCCATGTCTGGTGATGATTTGCTGGCAATTTTGCGAGGCCGTTCTAAGATAACACAAAAAAAGTTTGAACCATCTGGAATGAAAAGTGCCAAACAAATATCTGGAATCATGTGGAATGACAGTGATAAACAAAGATCTGGAATCATGTGGAATGACAGTGCCAAACAAAGATCTTGAACCATTTGGAATGACAGTGCCAAACAAAGATGTGGAATCATGTGGAATGACAGTGCCAAACAAAGATCTGGAATCATGTGGAATGACAGTGCCAAACAAAGATCTTGAACCATTTGGAATGACAGTGCCAAACAAAGATGTGGAATCATGTGGAATGACAGTGCCAAACAAAGATTTGGAATCATGTGGAATGACAGTGCCAAACAAAGATCTGGAATCATGTGGAATGACAGTGCCAAACAAAGATTTGGAATCATGTGGAATGACAGTGCCAAACAAAGATTTGGAATCATGTGGAGTGACAGTGCCAAACAAAGATTTGGAATCATGTGGAGTGACAGTGCCAAACAAAGATTTGGAATCATGTGGAGTGACAGTGCCAAACAAAGATTTGGAATCATGTGGAATGACAGTGCCAAACAAAGATTTGGAATCATGTGGAATGACAGTGCCAAACAAAGATCTGGAATCATGTGGAATGTCAGTGCCAAACAAAGATCTGGAATCATGTGGAATGACAGTGCCAAACAAAGATCTGGAATCATGTGGAATTACAGTGCCAAACAAAGATCTGGAATCATGTGGAATGACAGTGCCAAACAAAGATCTAGAATCATGTGGAATGACAGTGCCAAACAAAGATCTAGAATCATGTGGAATGACAGTGCCAAACAAAGATCTGGAATCCTTTGGAATGATAATGCTAAAGAGGACAATGACTAGCACTGATGTTGATATTTTCTGCCTTTCATTTCCTAACTGGATCAGAAGCTTGCAATCTACTCAGGCCGAACAATTTGTTTCACTGTTAATGACTGATTTTGATTCTGTAGAAAGTTTTCTACAAACTGAAGTAGCCAGTCTCCTGCCAACCCTCCATACAGGCACTGAGGTAGATTCATGGAACAGTATGCCATGAATCACACTGCATGGAGGGGGGGAATTAGGAAGAGAAGAGGACAAAAAGGAGAAAAGGCTGCAGACAGGCTTAGAGCTGAGCATCTGAGAAGAGACACATGAAATACGATGACAAGGACCCTGAAATCTGATACACATACTGTCAAAGATTTGTCATAATGTGAGCTAACCTTGCTAGTCACAGTCACCATGGGCGGTGACTACCCATATCTCTCAGTAGCACATTGGAGCACTTTTTTTCCAGAAAGACAGAAAGGTTCCAACTCTTTCCTTCTCTTATGGGCCTTCGTTAACTCAACAGCAGTTGACAGATTTTATTTTTATAGTTCTGTTGGTAAACCCAGTCAGGAAAGGTTGTTGACTCTTGTACAACTTGGGAACTGTTGAAAACTTGGTTCCAACAGGGAAAGCAAGCAACAGATATATTCCTCAGCTTTCCCAACACTCTCCAAGTGGTGATTTCAGTAAACAAGTGCTGACTGTCATGGGGTGTGGGGGAGCGAAAAGAGGCCTGTAACGCTACTGTAATCTCTTATCATGCAAAATATAAAGTCACTGGAATGATCACAGCAGAGATTGTTAATAATCCTTCCTTGCTGATGTCATGTACCAGTCTAATGTCAAGATTATCAACTAGCACTAGCTCAGGATGTCCCATTATAAAGATGTGGAGAGCAGTTTTTGTCAGTCTAAACCCAAACTCTGCCATATCAGTGCCAAAATTTCCCTGGCATTTCTCGAATATATTATGTTGCCAATATTAAACTGCCCTCACGCATTTAACTAATGAATGATAAACCATTTGAACAGATGACACAGGACTTATATATATCATATAAAAAGGATTGATTACTTCAAATAAGCAGCTGTCCTTTCATGTTTAATGAAAAGAGTGAACCAAAACACGCTGAAGTTGTAATTCATAAACACTAGCAGATACAAATACTCACCCACTGGTTCTTGATGAACCTAAACAAAGGGAAAATATCCAAGTAGAAAAGTTTACTACTAATGGGACAATGAAGTTTGGTAATAAACTCCTAAAAATGAAAAGCTTAATTTGACATCTTTTTCTTCCTTCTCTTCTTTTTTTTTCCCTGAACTCATCTCCCTTCTTCTCGCATTTTTTTGTTGTCACCCACTGTTTTTCCTTTTCATTTCATCATCTTGTTCTGCATTTCTTGGTTTCTAACACCAGCCATTTATTTTCTGGAGAAAGTCTGCTGTCAATTATACATCTCTATTGTAACAACCCTACAATAACATTTGTTGCACACAGATATCCTACAGCACTCAAAGATGCTCCTGCCTCCACCGCACAAGTGGCAGATACAGGGGCAGCAGTGGCAGATACAGGGGCAGCAGTGGCAGATACAGGGGCAGCAGTGGCAGATACAGGGGCAGCAGTGGCAGATACAGGGGCAGCAGTTGTGGTTTAGTAGATAAAGTTTCCTCCCCTGTATCACACACAGAAAACTTCATCTTTTGAAGCTAACAGCTTAAATTATCTTTCACCATGAAGATAAAGATATTATCGAATCATTTAAAATAAGATAGTTAAAGTGACTATAATGGATACTAATTTTCTCTAAGAACCCAATGATTTTTCAAGAATCATTCAAAATAAAATAGCTGTGGCTGAAGAAAAGTGATATGTTCTAATCTCATAAAGATACAAAATTTAAAACAAAATAATCTAAAAACATTCAAAACAAGGCATACACTAAAAGAGGAGGGCACATAAATCATGAGGTAGACCAAAAACAAATGGAAAGATACTATCAGAGAAACTCTACAACAGCATGATGCGTCTATAGCTGAGATGGCCAGAAGAGTAAGAAGCTGAATCTTATATCTGCCTGGAAACCCAAAGAGGTCAAACAAGAAGTGACAAAAGAGAGATCTCAAATAACAGCTAGCAAGGGCAGCTAACAGCAGACATTACCTTTTCTCTTGGAGACATATTTGTTTCCTCCCTTGCAGCTGCTACTCTGAAAGATGAGCTTTTCGGTGGATCGTACCTCCTATACACCAGCCTTAGGATGTCAGTTGCCATGATGACCTTACGCTCTGCGAAAGCCAGGTGAAAAGAACTGTTCTCTGGTTATACATGGCTTGTATTCAAACATGTCACGTAGAATCTGCAGATATGGATGCTGACTGTTCTCTCACAAAAATTTGAAAGGTCATGGTGACTTAAGTACATAAATGAAATATATTAATAGTGTATTTACATTCTGATTCACACAAATATAAAGTTTGTAAGATCCTTCAATATGAGAATTGAGATAGAAGTGGTCACTGCAGTTTCTGATTTCATCAACATAAGGAGTTATGTATTTCATCGAGCATGTGGCTCTGATTTTCACAGGCACTTCTTTCAGGATTGCCCTCCCCTAGCCTCTGACTATACCAGCCTATCAACAAACAGCAGAATTGTGTGTCTCATTGTCTAACCCTACTTGCTGAGCTGTTAACCTGCCAGTAACTTCGCTGCTTCTCACATATCTCTCAAAGTCCTTGAGTCACACATCCCCTCTGCAAGACATCAAAGTCCTTGAGTCAAGACATACCCTCTGCCTCATTATATCTCTCAAAGTCCTTGAGTCACACATCCCCTCTGCCTCACATATCTCTCAAAGTCCTTGAGTCACACATACCCTCTGCCTCACAAATCTCTCAAAATCCTTGAGTCACACCAGACCCTCTGCCTCACATATCTCTCAAAGTCCTGAGTCACAATATACCCTCTGCCTCACATATCTCTCAAAGTCCTTGAGTCACACATCCCCTCTGCCTCACATATCTCTCAAAGTCCTTGAGTCACACATACCCTCTGCCTCACATATCTCTCAAAGTCCTTGAGTCACACATCCCCTCTGCCTCACATATCTCTCAAAGTCCTTGAGTCACACATCCCCTCTGCCTCACATATCTCTCAAAGTCCTTAAGTCACACATCCCTCTGCCTCACATATCTCTCAAAGTCCTTGAGTCACACATCCCCTCTGCCTCACATATCTCTCAAAGTCTTGAGTCACACATCCCCTCTGCCTCACATATCTCTCAAAGTCCTTGAGTCACACATCCCCTCTGCCTCACATATCTCTCAAAGTCCTTGAGTCACACATCCCCTCTGCAAGACATCAAAGTGAAGACAGAAGAGGTGTTTTTAAGTAGATTATAAAATCAGTTACTTTAATTGATTCTATGTCAGAATGTTTCACAGCCGATGGTCATGACTGTTTCAACCTGAGGATGCCAGGTGGCAGAAATGGCAAGGAATCCATAATTTTTTTCACCAGACTGTGATTAGAAAGAAGTTCTGTGAAAGGCCATGATTAAAAAAAAGTTCTGTGATAGGCCAGTCAAAGAATAAAGTACAGGAGCCCTTTCCTCAGCCCTAAGTATACTAGACATATAGAGACAGATTACACTATTTGTTTTTTAGACTAACTGGCTTGATGTGGATTTGAACCCACAACTTTCAGGCCTGCAGTTAAGCATCTAGTTGCTGTGCCACAAAGGTTTTCTCAAATTTCTATGAAAGACTCAATCAATTACGGAAATGATGTTTTTTTTCCTCCACAGTATGAAGTACCAAAATCCAACATGTTTATAAGTGTGTTGCTGGAATTATTGCTGTCTGCAATGTACCACATTTGCGAGGGAGACATGGTATGTATGAATTTGCATAGAACAGTGTTCTTCAAACGGTGAGCAACAACTAAATCAGTGGGGCAGCAACAATTTCTACCTAATTATGTCACAGATTAGTGTAAGTAGTTTTCCTCTTCCAGGATTGTAGTCTGTAAGATAAAGACCTCAAGGACAAGAATTTGAAAAAAAAAAATGGAACCAACAGAAAATTGTCATATTGTGACACTGGATTTAACAAATAAACTGCCTACATTTGTTTCTGTGATTGGTTTGTTGTCAGGTGGCCACAAAACAATGTTCTTGTTTTGGCGGGCCATGGGTGTAAAACGGTTGAGGAACACTGACTTAGAACAGTATGACACTGATTACCCACCATTTGTTTACAGGCAACTGTTGATTTCTTTTTATTGAATTTAGCAGCAGCCATTCAAATTTTCTAGATTTCAGACACACAAAACCATTCCAAAAAAAAATTCAAATTTTCTAGATTTCAGACACACAAAACCATTCCAAAAAAAAATTCAAATTTTCTAGATTTCAGACACACAAAACCATTCAAACAACAACAACAAGTAACAATAAATATTAGTAACCACCTCTGATCATGTGTTCTACCACTCACTTTATAGACAGCCTCCATAAATCTCATATCAGACTTGCCATAGAGTTCATTATTAGAACTGGCGATATCACTGTTTAGTTCTGTGCTGTAAGACGTGAACAGATAGTGGTAGATGGCCAGGTATGCCTGTGGTGACCCCCTTGCCAGGCTGTGAATAAAATATAAGTCAACATTGTTTATATGAGGCATCCAGCAAAACAATTCTGCCACATACCAGTCTTCGCCTACTTCTTCTGCCCTACATTCCCTATTAGAGAACAGGTCCTTGATGAACTCACACGAAGCTGCCATTCTATTCTTGGCCATCTCTGGCCACACTCTCTCCTAACATTCCACATGCTAATTCTGGTGCTCTTTTCCTAGGTGGTTACTGACATTTTTGTGTTTCCCATATCACTTCGTATGTCAACAAGAGCCTCCCTTCATCTTGCTTTTTTTTTTGGAAAATTCCTATTTCCATTCTAGACCAGGTTCATAGTTGGTTAGTTTATGGCTGAAGCTTTTTACAGGATAAGGTATCAATCCGAAACTATTGCTGCCAGTTCCTGTTTCATGTTTGCTATGTTACAGCGTTACTGTTCTCTACTTCCTCTAAGGGTTTCAGTCCATATTAAACCAGTACCAGTAACACATGAGTGCATCAAACCAGTACCCCACAGTGCACCAAACAAGTAACCCATGAGTGCACCAAACCAGTACCAGTAACACATGAGTGCACCAAACCAGTACCAGTAACACATGAGTGCACCAAACCAGTACCAGTAACATTTAAAGGCACCAAACCAGTACCAGTAACCCAAGAGTGCACCAAACCTGTACTAGTAACACATCAAGGCACTAAACCAGTACTTGTAATACATGAGTGCACCAAACCAGTACCAGTAACCCAGGAGTGCACCAAACAAGTAACCCATTAGAACACCAAACCAGTACTAGTAATGCATGAGTGCACAAAACAAGTACCAGTAACATATGAGTGCACCGAACCAGTACCAGTTAACCATGAGTGCACAAAACCAGTACCAGTAAACCATGAGTGCACCAGACCAGTACCAGTAAACCATGAGTGCACCAAACCAGTACTAGAAACCCATTAGTGCACCAAACCAGTACTAGTAACACATAAGTGTACAAAACCAGTACACTTAACACATGAGAGCACCAAACCAGTAAACCATGAGTTCACCAAACCAGTACACATAACCCATTAGTGCACCAAACCAGTACCACATGAGTGTACCAAACCAGTAACCCATGAGTACACCAAACTAGTAACATATGAGTGCCCCATACCAGTAACCCATGAGTGATGAAGCTTGATGACTGAAGCAACGGCATGATGGAACATCATCAGTAGAATTAATTCAGAATATCATGGACCTCGATCTATGGAGAGACATGAGCACTTACTGAGGGCTCTGGTTTTGATATTATGCACTGTCTGAAGTGGCAAACAAAACAAAATTAAAGCTGACTCAATTCCATTTAGAATGCAAGAAACTGCAAGTAAACATTACTTAAAACATTTAATGTCTTAGATTCCACTCCAGTATATCTACAAGTCACTTATGGCAATCTGTTCATTGAAATGCAAAGCAATTCAGTTATATATGAATCTGAAATCTGAACAGCTAAAATAAGACTTTTTTCCATAAACTCTTTGCAGACGTATTGCCACTTTACTGGCTTCTGAATCCACCAGATTTCGGAGGGATCGCTACACGTGGTTTTGCACATAACACTCTAATGTTTCATTTGCTAAGAATATGAAATTTGTATGAACATGTTTTGAAAAACTAGAATAAGTGAAAGGAAGTATGGTAAGGCGATAAGTTTAATTTTTAATGTGTTTTTCATGAAATGCTTAGAAATGGAAAGTTATGTTGCTGATCAAGTTAAAAAAAAAAAAAGTAAGGTAAGTACAACATTTCATGTGCAAAAAAATCTCCTTCTACATCTAACATCCTTGAATGTTGTGTCATTTTACTATTTTGTTGTTGTAATCCTGATCTTTAGTAGTTTAGATGTATTCTGTATTCATGTCTCCTAATTTGATTATGTGTCACTATACAGAACCGTTTTAGCATTTGTCAGTTGCAGTACAGCTGGACCCCGCATGCAGAGAACCAAAAGTAATGACTAATAACTAGGGCTTATACCAAAATAGTGATCTTTCACTATTCGGCCGAATACGAATAGCGCTGACCAACTATTCGGCGAATACGAATAGTGAATCATCATCATCAGGTGGCTTTGCCGATGGTGTAGGCGATCATGCTTACTCCCCAATCTGACGATCTCCCACAGCATGTATTAGTTCGTGTGCTGACAAACCTTCCATGGCATGCAACAATTCTGTTCAAGCATCCTCCGCTCGTTGTCTTCCTTTATCCCTCGCTTCCACAGATCTTTCCAGTGGGCACCACATGTGTCACTTTCCCTTTTCCCATAACATGGCCGAAAAAATGACGAACTGTCTGTCTTCTGATGTCTGTGATAGTTGTTCTTCAGGCTTCACGTTGGTTTCAAAACCTCTTGGTTGCTTGGGTGGGGAGGGAGGGGGTGGGGGGGCTGTTCAAGATATTTTAAGCATTGTTCTGCTAAAAAACCACATCTCTGAGGCCTCAAGAAATCGTTTGGCCTGCCTACCGATGTGTCCAGGATTCACAGCCATATGTTAAAAATCTGGATGTATATGTTAGCAAGCAAGAATTTTTTTTTTCTAACTTTCAAGGACAAGGACATATTGCACAAGAGGTTCTTCATTTTATAAAATGCAGTTTTTTGCCTGTCTTGATCTATTTTCTTTTTGTCGAGTATACGGTCTCGCACTCCCTATGCTATGCCATAGAGGTGGGAAAAGGTTCCTTCTACTTACTTACTTAAACTTTATTAGCAAATGGCAAATGTTTCAGAAAAATTCCTATAGCCATAATCATACAGAGACACCACATAAAACAACGAAAGTTAGCCACAAATTATACCGGCACACTGGCAACTATGAGCCTCTTTTAACTACAGTGAAAATTTTAAAAAATGCAATGTTATGGACATGTAATAAGATCTAATGGCCTCCCAAAACAATATTGCAGGGCTCAGAAGAGGGAAAGAGGAGAAGAGGTAGACCAAGAAAAACCTGGTTAGAGAACCTGACTGACAGGACAGGCCTCAGGCAAGCAACCATGATGTTCATCGCAACTGACCGCCAAAGGTGGAGAGAGATGATCAGACAGTCAACAGAAACTGGTGACCCAACGACACGTAGTGTTACGAGATGATGATAATGATGTTGCAGTAACCAAAAAATTCAGCCCAGAATTAATGCTGCCCAAACTCCACAACAAAATGTCATCCTTAAGGAGTTAATGACCAAAAATTTACTATCAAAAATGAGCTTGCTAAAAGGAAGTTTGTTTATAAGGGCCCCAACCATTGCCATGAGGCTTTTTTCTTCCCATTTTAAATATTTTTCACGATCGTATCTTATTTTGGATATTATCAGGTCAGGATTGAATAATTTTTCCCCAAAAACGAGGCGCAAGCTGACCCCCTAACCCCCAATATCAATCACTTGTGGGAACTTGGTAGCCTTCAGCTGTGACAGCAGTTGTTTCATATTGTTCTTCAAGTCTCCAGTTGCCATTGTTCTGAATGGATTACAAACAGATCTCAATTAAACAAATTGCTAATGCTAGTTTAAGAGTAACTGTTATTCAAATTTTAGGAAATCTTATCAAGGAGAGGAAA